TTTGTAGTTTACTTTCTTGTTTTGAGCGTTGCAGGACTTAATCCCATGACCTGCAACTTGTATGTTTTGTTTGTTAATTTTGAGACCTATGGGGCTTGACCCCTAGATCTGTCTTTAGTAGTCTTTATGTTGCAGTCTCTAGGCCATTCGGCCTTTTCCTTTTGCCTTGCCAAAGAGTCCGTCCAGGGTCTAGTCCGTGAGTAGATGAGGCGGGTAGGAAATGGGTTTGCGGCCTTTTCTTGTTTCGGGCTGCTGGGGAAACTCTGCCCGTCCGTTGTTGGAGCCCTGCTGCACTATTTTGGGCGAGGTCATATTCTTCATCGAAGCCCAGCCAAAGCTGGGGTTGGGATACAAAGTTTTTTTTTTTTTTTTTTTTTTTTTTTGGGAAACGAAGTTGAGGAGTGCACTGCTGCTATTTCGCAGCTCAGCATGAGAGCTTCCACAGGACTGTGTTGTTGGGTTTGGGCGCTGTGTTGTTGGGTTTGGGAGAGGAGGAATTTGCAAGTCCCAGCGTCCCAGTCCCAGAGCCCCAGCATCCCAAAGTCCCAGAATCCTGGTCCCCTCATCCCAAAGTCTCAAAGTCAAAGAGTTCTAGTGTCCCATCAGAGATCAGTAGTTCTCGGAGGACCTCGAGTCTAGGCCGGTGGGAGTGAAAGGATTTCATACCATACATCTCAGCATTCAAGTCCCAGAGTCCCAAGCCCCAAAGTTTCGAAGTCCCAAAGTACCAGAATACCAGAATCCCAGCATACCAAAGTTCCAAAGTCCAAGAGTCCCAGTGTCCCATGCACGATAGTCCCAGAAGGTAGGCCTGTCCGTACTACGCAGGTCCTAGGTCATTATGTTAGAATCCGGTAGGCCAGTCAGCTTGTCGTTTCGTTAGGCCTATTACTCCTGTTCAAGTCAGCAGCTCAGTGCCAGGAAAGTCTGGTACCTTCGTATACATGGAAGGGCCTCACCACACCACTGTCGAAACGAAAAAAGAACAAATGCAACTTCCCGCAGATAAGACCACTATATGAACAGCAACAGATGCATCTTACCACTTTCTGAGGAAGATGCATTGGTCCTTTTTTCGTTTCGACAGTGGTGTGGGGAGGCCCGAAAAACCAGCCGCAGCAGGCAAGTGAAGGACCTGGAACAGGTCCAGAAAGTCAAAGGCTGGGAACTGCAGGCCAGAACCGGTCCAAAAAGTCAAAGACTGGGAACTGCAGCGGGTACAAAAGTCCAGCGGCAGCCAGGTAACAACACAATTTGCATTTGAGGCTGTCGGGGAAGCGCTGTGCTGGTCTTGGTCAAATGGCGGCCAGGCGACAACCCAATTTGCATTCCCGCCTGTTGCACAAGCGCTGCTGCTGTCTTGTGCGGTCAAGCATCGAGTGAGGCTGCGAGGCTGTCTAGTACGTTAGTCAACGGCCCCCCGGCTCCATAGCTGTCCAGCTGTAGAGCTTGAGTGTGTGGGAGGCAAGAGTGAGATTCGGGAGGAAGTCGTTAAAAAGGATGACAGAGGGCATCTTAGTCAACGGCCTCCGGGTCCATAGCTGTCCATCTGTAGAGCTTGAGTGTGTGGGAGCCAAGAGTGAGATCCAGGAAGAAGTCATGAGAAAGGATGAGAGAGGCCTGAGAGAGAGGGAGAGAGAGAGAGCAACCGTTACCTACCGGTTGAGTGGGGCAGCCCCGCATATCCGTATATGCACGAGACCTTCATGAATAAGACTTCGGTTTTTCAAACAATTGCCGGTGAGTGCTCAAGCCGTGTGCACTTGCATCTCATGCGTGACACTGTGCACTGAAGTCTGAACCTGCGATGCCATGATAAGCAGTGTGAATTCGTGAGATTTTTCGACATTGCTTAAATCATATCAATCTGGGGTTGGAAAACAATACAACCTTCCATGAGAAATTTTGATTCTGGTTACCCTTTGCGTTTCTTATTAGGTAGCTGCAAATAGAATGGTTTTAGGTGCAGTTGGTCAGTTACAAGCGAACACTGGGTAATGCTCCCAGCACCGGTCTTAATGTGAGGTGGCCAGCCTCCCCTTTTATCGTACGAGTACATAATGTGGATTTCCACTAGGGAGACATCCCGGGCGCCCGGGCCCCGATGTCACGCCCGGTTTGGCGACCGGGTGACCGGCCGGGCATGACCCCCAGGCACGCGCCCGGGCAGCCCCTGCGCAAAAAAAAAAAAACAAAAAAAAAAAAAACTCCAAAAGAATCTGGAAAAAAAAAATGTTGTGTAGAATTGCAATACAAACAACTTTTGGCTGAGGGTCACATCCGAATTCCTCACCGAACTGAAGATAAAAATAAAAATAAAAAACAATTTAAAAAAAATGAAAAAATCGCATTAAGGCACCCCCCTTTAAACCCCTTTAGCCCCTTCAAAATTCATTTATACTCCCCTTCCCCCCCCTTGACAGCCAAGTCTCAAAAACAAGAAAGAGCCCGGATTTGGGCTCCTCTCGGAAAGCGCGGAAAAAAACCACCGCCATTTTTATTTTTTTTTCCCCATGCCTGGGTATCCCGGGCGTCAGACTCCCCCGGGCATCACGCCTGGGTGACCGGCCGGTCCAGACCAGCCGGTCATGAAAATCTTCCTAGGATTTGAAGGTGCAAGGAAGATGAGCAATAGCGAACCTCAACAAGCAACATGCAGTCCAGATAGTCGTGACCTCGAACCAAAAGCAGATATGCGCCAAGAGTTTCACCAAATAAGATTGCAACACGAGCTCAAAATTGACAATGCTGACATTGTTCCATCATCATCAACCACAAACCAATGTCGTATCACCTATCTGGCGCCCTGCGTCCAGTCTACAAGTGGCAGATCCTATCTCGCCTATGCTACAACGCAGATGTTGTCGTCAACAGCTCTTCCCAAGTACGAGCAGATCTCGGCCCAAGCCGTCGCGTCAAGTACCAGGTATGCTCGTCGCATCACTCACAACCCCGATCCTCTCCACAGCATGCCGTATGCACCCAAGGACCACTCATGCGCCCCATCTAGCTACTGCGCGCCCCTGCAGCCCGGCTATGGCTGCGCGCCCCCTTCTCTCTCGCTCGCCCGTGAGCGCGTGAGTGCCAGCCAGCAGCGCAGCAGCGCTTGCGCGGAAGCAGCCAGCGCCCGAATGCCAAATGCGGAGGCAGGCCCATTGCTATATGGAAGTGGCCTGCCCGTGTACTGCCCAGGCTGCGTCTGGCCTTTCACAAGAAGCTTCCGGTAGGCCCCGGTAGGAAGAGGCCCAGACCTCACGCGTAGGTCCAGGGTCTGGTGGTTGCATGTGCCCAACTGCCCTTGGCCTGCTTACGGCCTTGCACGCGTTCGGCCCAGGTTACCACTCAGATACATTTGCAAAATGTGGCCTGGGCCTGGGCGCCTTTAACCAACTGGCGCAGCACAACTGTCTGAATTTCCACATTTGCGGGGTGGCCTGAAATTGAGGCCCTCAGGGCCCGTCGAGCCTGCCTTCACTTAGGGCGGCCGACCATGCTGCAAATAGGGCCCAGTAGGGGCTAAGCGGGCGTAGCCTCGCATTCCCTCCTCCATAGCTTCGTTAGTCCTCTGAGAAGATCAATCTGCAGCCATCTGGCAGTTTCCTTTCAATACATCCTTCTCATAGCGGGCAACGATTTGAGGAGCGGTCTGCATCAATTCCTCCCGAGTAAACCAGCAGTCCTCCTTCGGATCTGTGTGATGTCTGAAGTGGACACGGAACTGCAGCTTCGGTTTTGGAGGACGTCCCCTTCCCGGAGGCTTCTGTACAGGCATCTCCCTGTGGTCAACGATGTCATCAATGTCAACTTCTCCGTCCATGGTTGGGGGCAGCATTGAACGTCCAGAGGGAAAGTGATCAGTTTCCTTGAACGCAGCGAGCTTAGAGGCGTGAAAGACTGGGTAAGTTCTGAGGTGACCAGGGATACGGATGACATAAGATGGACCATCAGGATCTGTCCCCACTACGTCTAATACTTCCCAAGGCCGAAAGTACTGAGGCATGAGTTTATGGGATATCCCGAACTCTTGTCCCAGTTCTGAAGATTTGACCCAGACTCTGTCCCCAACCTGAAATGTAGAAGGGCGGCGGTGTTTGTTCTCAGACTCTATCCTTGCTGTCTGCGCCTTCTGCATGTGCTCTACAGCCTCCTGCATTTTCTGTTCGTAACGATATGCGAACTCCAAAGTGCCCGGTGCAGCAGTTGGCTGGTTGTCAGGGAGTAGGAAGTCTAAAGGCAGTCTAGGCCTAAAGGTTAGATGTAGACTGTTAGGACTCACTCCAGTAGCGCTGTGTACAGCGTTATTATACAGACTGGCGACAAGAGCAAGCTTCTCGTCCCAGTCCACCTGGTTGGGCTTGATGTAATGCCTCAACAGGTGTTGCACAGCGCGGTTCATCTGTTCAGCCTGGCCGTTAGCTTCTCGATGATTTCCAGAAGTCATCTGCAGTTGAGTTCCCTATTCAGCTGCAGCGACCTTCCACAGTTCACTTGTGAATCTGACGTCCCTGTTACTAACTATCGACTTCGGCAGTCCAAAATCCCTAACCCAATTCTCTTTAAACAGCTTGATCACATACTCGGTCTTCGCTGTTTCTGGCATAGCTATTAATCTAGCAAACTATCTAAACCTATCCACGATGACAAAGATTTGCCTCATTCCACTCTTGCTGGTGACCAGCGTATCCATGAAGTCCATGGACAAGCTTTCACCCGGCCTTTCCGGAATGGGAAGGGGCTTGAGCAGCCCAACAGGAGCCTGAGTACGGGGCTCGTCTCGTTGGCAAACTTGACAAGTCTCCACGTATAGCTTGGCATCTTTTAAGATTGTGGGCCACCAAAATCTTTGCAGCAAATTGGCTGCGGTCTTTTTGTACCAAAAATGTCTGGTGGCGTCGTGACACTCACCTAAAAACAAACTACGCAAAGACTCTCTACTAGGGACACACAGACGTTTATTCCCTTCCTTCTCGAGGAACAGTAAGCCATTGACCAACTCGAACTCGGCTGAAGTCTGTTTATCCTTCGCCTCGAGTCTGCGAATGATCTCAGACATGAATTGGTCCTCTCGATAGGCTTCCACCAAAGATTGAGTAACATCGCCCGTAAGATCGAAACTCAGTAATCAGCGCACCTGAGAAATCAGGTCTACGCGACAAGGCATCAGCAACCTTGTTGTACTCGCCCTTGATGTACCGAGGCTCGAAGTCATACTGCTCAATGACCTCGATCCAATGCTTCAATGCGTCAGAGAGTATAGGCTGAGTTCTCATTCATCTCAAGGTCTGATGATCAGTCCCGAGGATGAAGAACCTCCCAAGGAGATAGTGTCTCCAATGGGTCAGCGCCTTGAATACCACATAGAGTTCCTTCTCGTTGGTGGACTTAGCCAACTTCTGATACGGCATCTTCTTGGACATGTACTCTACCGGCCTCAACTTTGGCCCCTCCTGTTGCGCAAGCACGGCGCCAATGCCATATTGGCTAGCATCCGTGGTTACTATAAATGGCTTGTCAGAATCGGGTAGCTTCAAGACTTCATAGTGCGTTAGTGCATGCTTCAGATGTCTGAAAGCAGCCTCACACTCATCTGTCCACTCCCATGGGGTGTCAAGGCGGATCAGATCGGTCAAAGGGGCGGCCACTATGCTATAGTTCTTCACAAACGTCCTATAGTAGTCGGTCATCCCTAAGAACGATCTCATCTCAGTCACGGACTGAGGACGCGGCAAATCACGAATGTTGGCCACCTTCGCGTCATCGGGCTTCAATCCCTCCGTGGAAATCTCATGACCCAAGTACAAGATACGGGTACGGCCAAACTCGCACTTCTCCTCGTTGATCTTAAACTTGTGCTGCCGAAGGAGACTAAGGACTTCGTCTAAATGTGCCACATGCTCCTCGACAGTCCTACCGAAGATAAGTATGTCATCGAGGTACACGATGACGAACTTGTCCACGTAGTCATGAAAGATCCTGTTCATCGCGTGCTGAAAGGTGCCAAGAGCATTGCAAAGGCCAAAAGGCATCACCACAAACTCGTACAGACCATACCTGGTCTGAAAAGCGGTTTTGTGTTGATCCTCATGGCGAATTGCAACCCGATGGTACCCGGACTTCAGATCTCTCTTACTGAAGTACCAGCACCCTTGCATTCGGTCCAACAAGTCATCGATGCGCAGTAGGGGCTCTCGGTTCTTAACGGTGATGGCATTCAATGCACATCCTGAGAGTGCCTCCCTTCTTCGGTAGGAATAAGACTGGAGAACCATATGGAGAGACACTCGGTCGGATCCAACCCTTCTCTATGAGTTCCTTGAGTTGGCGGCGAAGCTCATCAAGCTCGCCCGGAGACATCATATAGATCCTACCTTTCGGGATGCTAGCCCTTGGGATAATCTCTATAGCGTGGACGACCTCCCTCTCAACAACCCCTTTTGGCTCCTCAAATAAATCAGGGTACTTGGCAACTACTCCCTCTTCCTCTGGCGGCATTTTCACCGGCTCGCCTGCAGCAGAGACGTAAACTAGACACATACCCTCCTTCGGATTTTGCTTATAATAGTTGTAGAACGCGACCGCACACAAGCATCCGTGGGAATCGATCAGACTACTAGCCTTGAACTTATGCAATCTGGCGGTTCCCCCGTTTGGCAAAGTGTGTTTGACCACCTTCCAGTCCCAGTCAAACTGGGGCTGTGCCACGGAGAGGTAGTACATACCCAATAACATGTCCATGGGGAGCTCGTCGCTAACCAGGAACGAGACATGATGTCTCAGTTCCCCTCCCGCGTACGGGAAAAGACACTCTATGTCTTTTAGGTAGTCGTGGACTACCATGTGCTGTTTGTTGGCGCAGGTCGACTCCACAGGTCGACTCAGGCGCTGCACTTGCCCCTGTAAGCGCAGCCTCTCAACGCACGCATGGCTAATAAAATTTCTAGTCGAGCAAATGTCGTAATAGGCCCCGGCCTTGCGGCCGCCAATGACTACCTCGCTGACAAACATTTCACTCCTAGGGGTTTTTACTAATGCCGTCCAAGAAGCTAGTGGGTCCGATCTAGACCATTCATCCTCTAGCTCCTCTAAGGATTCAAACACATTCATCGAACAGAGGGTCAATGGGTCTGAATGTGCTTGTGGGACGAGTGAAGAGTCAGTAGCTTGGGCCATCTCTCGCGGAGGTGAGGGTGTATCCACCACCGAGGTCCGATCGTGCCAGAAGTACTAGCAATATTGCTTCCTACGGGAGTGGAGGATCCTACCGCCTGCCCCATAGTAGGCGGGATCTTCTCGGTGACCTTCTTGTTATGGCACTTGTACTGACTATGACCATACTGACCACACTTAATACAAGCTTGCCGGGCCCACCGGTCTCTCCACACGTCCTCAGATAGACCCGCTTTCTCCCATGGAGGAGCGTTGGGGTCTGTTTGACTCTTCGACCGGGATCCTCTAGGACGTCTACCGGTCCCTTTACCTTTTTGTTGTAGTGGCGCGACTACTCCACCCCCTGAAGTATCGCTGCCAGCCTCTGCACCCACTTCTGACTGGGGTTCGACGTCCAACTCGATGGTTGAACCATCGTTGTCGACGAACATAATACGACCTTTCGACTTCTAGTCAGAAGGCAGTGTCTTTTTCCTATCATCCGTCGGTGGGGCATGTCCGTGGCCAATCTTGGCCTCAAGATCTAAAGCCTTCTTGCTAAACGAGGCAAAGGTGTGCATGGTGATCATCGCCTCGCTAGCCAACTGAGTTCTAATCTTCGTAGGGAGACACCTCAGATAAATGACCAGCAAGACTTGCGGGTCGTAGCGCACGCCAGGGACACAGATCAGCCATTCAACGGCTTCGATCGCATCTCTTACCGACCTGAACTTTCTAGAAGTCGGAGTCAGAATCCCATCAATGGCCCTTTGGGCCTCTTGTGGGTCATGCCACCTTTACTAACCTGAGAAAATCCTCCAATTTCTTGGTGGCTGCCCAGGCGCGGAGGTCATGACTGTAGCCCTCTAACTGCACTTGCCCACTCAACCATCTGGCTGTTGTCCCTTCTAAGAAGGACGCAGCGACTAACACCTCCTCGTGAGGCTGAGTCATCTTGCACCAAACATAGACTGGGACCAACTTCAACCAAGTGTTGAGGTCCTCACCCTTCTTATCACCTGAGAAGGGTTTCGGAGCCGCGATGGCTGTCTTTGGAACCCACTGACCTTGTCCCAGAACCTGACCCTGAATAGGCTGTGGACCTTGGGGAACAGGTCACTGGCTTACAACCGGCTGGGCCTGTGTGACCTGCGGTTGACCAGCTTGTGGGACAGCAGATAGCCCAGTGACAGCAACCTGCGGCGGTGGTTGGGACAACACTGACTGAACAGGAACCTGTTGACTAGGTCCAGCTGCTAATCCTCCTGAAAGCGGCATGCCCAGGGAGACTATGGCTACCGTAGACGGGGCTACAAATGGGGATACCCCAGTCACCGGTGGGACAGGTGGGAGTGGATGTGCCACGGGCCAGGCACCAGGCCCTGCAGGAAATGGAACTACCTGCAAACGCTGTACCAGTGTGGCCAGCGATTGTTGGATGTCTTGAAGGAGGGCAGTTTGCTGGTCCTGCATTTCCGCCATGGAAAGCACGACATTGCGAACTGTCCGCACATCTGCATCCACATTGGTAAGGTCCATCTGATCTAACTCCCTAATGTCCGCTTCTCGTCTCAATAACCTGGCTCTTCTTCTAACCATTCTATCTTTCTCCGCTTTTATATCTGTCAATGCCTTCTGTAGTTGTGCCTCCTGCAGGGCTTCCTGCTGGATGGCGATGTCCTCGGGTGACAGCAAAATTTGCTGGCTTACCATGGGGCCAGCAAACTGACTTTGTGTCTGCGACACCGATGAGCCTATCGAACCTGAACTTCAGGCCAGGGAAGTTTGCTGGGCAGTGCCCTGCTGCGAAGCGGCGGTGGCCATTGCGGCCGCTGAAGCTGCTGCCTCAGCCACTAGAGCTCTACTAGCCTTTGTGTCCCTCTCACGCTGCTGCTGGCGCTGCCTCTCCCTGGCCTCTCTGCGCAGGCCTCGGTCTCCCTCTACTCCGAACGCTCTAAAGACTACAGGGAGTCTACGGGCTGATGATCGCAATACACGGTCGTCTGGTTGCTGCTCCTCCCTACCGCTCATAGGCTACAGAACTGTGCTCAGCTCGCACTAGGACAGAACTGGCTGCCTACCGCAGCAACGGCACAGACCGACTTAAAATAAATAAATAAAATAGTCGGTGGTCATGTCACAAATATCCAGGTGGATGCAACAGGTAAGTACAGATTCCTAATGGCAATACTATTTTTAGTAAGATTAGTTCTCGAACAGAGGAAGCATCAGGGATAAATAAAATTCTAAACTAACGCTGTCTGTCAGATGTCACATGCCAGTCCATCTAACTAATCAAAATTAAAAATAATATTGACTGACTGGGTCTGTTTACAGCATGGGATTTGACCCGAACTTATCACTAGGCATCAGAAGCCAAGCGTGTCTGAAGGTGTGTGTGTTCGGCCCACCCCTATGCCCCAAGTCATTGCCGAGCAAGCCAGCCCATCCACTCTTATTTATCCTCGTACGGAACGAGCCTTACACCCGGTTGATCTGGCTGATCAAGAGGCAATTTAACATCTGCCCCCAAGTGACATCAGGAATTATTTTACGTCGCAGCAGGACGACGATCACAGCCAGATTCAATCACGGGACCCCGCCAGAAATATTTATAGACGGTCTGGAAAGCGTCTTTCATGGGCTGGCACACCCGGCACGACCTCTATTGCGCAAGCAGGCAGAACAAGGACAAGCAGCAAGGCATGCGTGCTCTACTCCCAGTGGGTTGGCATGGTGACCGTGACCTAGTGGTTCGTCCAGGGCCCTTCAAGAAGCTCCGCCCGTCTTCCCCCAGATGCTCCACGTGAACAATCACGACTCTCAAGGTTGAGAGCACTCGACACCTCACGATGAGAGGACTCTCAAGACAGAACTCAAAACCTCACGGTAAGAAGTGATGAAGAGGGTAGATAAGGTTACGAGCAACGTACCTCGTTCAAGCTGCCCCCAACCACAGAGATAACATCACCAGATGACCTGAAGATGATTGCGATGACCAGTCACAGAATCGGCACGACCAGCATTGTCTCGCCGTTCCACCTCAGCCTCAATCACCCAACAGATAGTTCTCATCACACTGCGAACACCCAATATTTACACCGTAGCCTTCCAGGCGATGCCCCTCACCACCTGGGTCGCCAATACTCGTCTCCACCCTCCTCACTACACACCAGCATGTTACTACTCACGAAGCAGACCGCATGTATGTACCGCATAAGGTAAGAGACAAGCGCCAGATGAGCGCACCATACCACAGTTCCGATACCAAATTGCAAGGAAGATGAGCAACAGCGAACTTCAACAAGCAACATGCATTATTCACACGAGTCCAGATAGTCGTGACCTCGAACCAAAAGCAGATATGCGCCAAGAGTTTCACCAAATAAGATTGCAACACAATCTCAAAATTGACAATGCTGACATTGTTCCATCATCATCAACCACAAACCAATGTCGTATCACATATCGGGCACCCTGCGCCCAGTCTACAAGTGGCAGATCCTATCTAGCCTATGTTACAACGCAGATGTTGTCGTCAACAGCTCTTCCCAAGTACGAGCAGATCTCGGCCCCAGCCGTCGCGTCAAGTACCAGGTATGCTCGTCGCATCACTCACAACCCCGATCCTCTCCACAGCATGCCGCATGCACCCAAGGACAACCCATGCGCCCCACCTAGCTACTGCGCGCCCCCGCAGCCCAGCTATGGCTGCGCGCCCCCTTCTCTCTCGCTCGCCCGTGAGCGCGTGAGTGCCAGCCAGCAGCGCAGCAGCGCTTGCGCGGAAGCAGCCAGCACCCGAATGCCAAATGAGGAGGCAGGCCCATTGCTATATGGAAGTGGCCTGCCTGTGTACTTCCCAGGCTGCGTCTGGCCTTTCCCAAGAAGCTTCCGGTAGGCCACGGTAGGCAGAGGCCCAGACCTCACACGCAGGTCCAGGGTCTGGTGGTTGCATGTGCCCAACTGCCCCTGGCCTGCTTACGGCCTTGCACGCGTTCGGCCCGGGTTAACACTCAGATATATTTGCGAAATGTGGCCTGGGCCTGGGCGCCTTTAAACAACTGGCGCAGCGCAACTGTCTGAATTTCCCCATTTGCGGGGTGGCCTGAAATTGAGGCCCTCAGGGCCCGTCGATCCTGCCTTCACTTAGGGCGGCCGACCATGCTGCAAATAGGGCCCAGCAGGGGCTAAGCGGGCATAGCCTCGCAAAGGGGATTTCCTTCCAAAAAAAAAAAACAAAAAAAAAACGA